ATCATTAGGAATAGTTTTTACGACTATTGAACAAGAATACTTGCCGTCATTTAGCCGTTTTATGATCGGCCATTTGTATTAGATGGACATTTCTACTTGCGGACACTTGTTTCGTTTCCAAAGGGTGTCCGCTTACGAGAGACTCAACTGTACTGCTGACCGTTGAACGCGGTAGAAAAACGTCCATCATTATTGCTAATGTATTCAGAACTTTTTGTCCTAGAGTTTCTATATCGTCAGGTTATGTTATAGACTGTATTTCAATTATATATAAACCTAGATTTATTCAATAAACCTACTTTCGAAGAGTGAAACCTAACGAAAGTTTTGAATCATTTTAATGTCGAACGTTTCGACGCTCTCCGGTGTCACAAAAGATCTTCGCCTTGACGGAGTCCGATTGTTCAAAGATGGCTTTATCTTTTGGATATAAAGCAACTCATGATTCATCTAATCCATTCTGCTTAAGCACTTTTAACATAAGTATTTTAAAATTAACACCAAAGTCAAGTACCCCGGTGAGGCCTTGCAATACCAGACGTATGCACCTGACTTTCAAAAGCGCTAATTTTAAAATAATTAAAAAGTGCTTAAGCAAAATGAATTAGATGGTTCACAAGTTTCTGTATATCCGAAAGATAAAGCCTTATTACCTGAGCACCCAACTGGACTCCTTGAAGGCGAAGATGTTTTACTAACTTTATCAACTTAGTTATAATCAGACATTTAATTTTGCTGGTGAATAATTATTCGATTTTCTCTTTAAAATGATGCTTTAGTTTTGCGTTAGTTTTTACTCTTCAAATTACAAACAAAGCAAAACTGTAGTCAAAATCCTGYTATYCTCCTATAAGTACCRCTGACCGTTGACCGCGTGAGCAAAATGTCCTTCTATCGTTCCTTTCGAAAGGACACAGATGACACGATGTTACAAGAAGGGCATAGATGTATATGACGTTTATGACAACACACAAACTTATAACCACAATGGTCATCAACATTTTATAAATCAAATCGCTGTCATATCTGTAATTGAAGAGTCCTGATGACAATAACATGAACATTATTTCCCTTTTAGGACCAGCACCATTGAGGTTACTGCATAAGACATCCTCACAGTCATCAGTGGAAGGTATTTTACAGATTTATTACAATGGTGTCTGGGGAACAATATGCGATGACGAATGGTCATTGGCTAGTGCAACTATAGCATGTAAACAGCTTGGCTATCAGTTTGCAGTTATGTCCAAGCGCTTAGGACAAGGACCAGATCCAATTTGGCTTGATAATGTTAAATGTAACGGCGATGAACCGTCACTAGACAAATGCTTTCACGGAGGATGGGGTACTCATAACTGCGATCACAGTGAAGATGTCGGCATCGTGTGTAATACTAGTAAGTACATCTTGATAGTAGTACTACATTTTTCATAAAATGATTAAAACGAGCGGTTAACTAATATGAACTGCGTCGGCGTTCGAAAGAAAGAGTTGTGTGAATTACGATAAATTGTTTATTGTAAAAAAATAGTTGTAACAACTTACTGACATTTTTGACGTTATTCCTTTGTAATAGCAATAAAGTAATTCCTGTAATAATGATAATAATGTTATTTACCGTCATTATGGTTACTGGAAATAGAACCTTGTCCTGTAGACCACATGCCTTTTAATTGGTCATGACCACTCGACCATCTCGTCTCCTACTGATTGGAGATTATTTTTCTTACACAGAAACAGCGCCATTGAGATTGTTCAACAAAACAAAACCTGCTTCATCATTAGTGCAAGGTATTTTACAGATTTATTACAATGCTTCATGGGGTACAATATGCGATGGCGGATGGTCCT